AAAAATCAACTTACCCAACTAATTTCATATTAGCATCACTACAATGGTAATGGGACCAGTGCTGTTTAACATCTTTGTTGGTGACATGGACAGTGGATTGAGTTCACCCTCAGCAAGTTCACCAATGACACCAAGCTGTGTGGTGCAGTCAACACACTGGAGGGAAGGGATGGGCCATCCAGAGGGACCTGGACAGACTTGAGAGGTGGGCCTGTGCAAACCCCATGAAGTTCCACAAGGCCAAGTGTAAGGTCCTGCACATGGGTCAATGTAATCCCAAGCACAAATACAGGCTGGGTGATGAGTGGATTGAGAGCAGCCCTGTGGAGAAGGGCTTGGGAACAGTAGTGGATGGAAAATGACATGAGCCAGCAATGTGCACTCACAGCCCAGAAAGCCAACTATATCCTGGGCTGCATCAAGAGGAAATGTGGCTACAAGTTGAGAGAGGGGATTCTCCCCCTCAACTCCCCTCTTATGAGACCCCACCTGGAGTACTGTGTCCAGCTTGGGGCCTCCAATGGAAGAAGGACATGGACCTGTTCGAGCAGGTCCAGAGGAGGGCCATGAAGATGATCAGGGTCCTGGAGCACCTCCCTTATGAGGACAGGCAGAGTTGAGGTTGTTCATCCTGGAGAAGAGAAGGGTCAATCCAGGGAGACCTCATAGCAGCCTTCCAGTACTTAAAGGGGGCTACAGTAAAGATAGGGAGGGACTCTTTCTCAGGGAATGTAGTGATAGGACAAGAGTTAACAGTTTTAAACTAAAAGAGGGTAGATTTAGATTAGATATAAGGAATAAACTCTCTACTGTGAAGGTGGTGAGGCACTGGAACAGGTTGCCCAGAGAAGCTGTGGCTGCCCCCTCCCTGGCAGTGTTCCAGGCCAGGTTGGACGGGGCTTTGAGCAACCTGATCCAGTGGAAGGTGTCCCTGCCATGGCAGGGGGGTTGGAACTAGATGATCTTTAAGGTCCCTTCCAACCCAAACGATTCCATGATTCTGTGATAATAATGTTGCACGAACAGCAGCAAGAAGAGAGAAAAGATGAGACCTTGCTGAGGTGTTACACATAGCTGGCACAACCAAATCCATGATGTGGTGCCAATATTAGAAGAACATGGCCAAAATTGAACAATGCTTCATGGACAAATCAAATGCATAGATTTAGTCTGAGCCCTTGGTACAGTATTTCTAGAAGGATGATGGGGTTATAACGGTACCTTTTCTACAAGGTACAGTAGAATTCCTAATGCAAAAGCACATTGGTATCCTTGTGTAGTGATGTGAAGGCTATAGCTGAGACAAAAAAATGCTTACTGGACAATTCAACTAATTTCAAGGGCTTCCCACACTAAGCCCACCAAAGCACAGAAAATTCAGATTCTGTGAACAGAGTTTCTCTTTCACCATCCTCTGACAAAAATATCTCATCTCACCGTACCCTGCTGGTGCTCTTAAGAGGCAGAAAGTAGCAGGGTTGTGTAGAAATGATTCAGCTACATAGCAGGCAGAGGGCAGCTGTGACACATTGAAACAACACACAGAACTTGGTTTCTTCCTGTTAAGGAAAGGAAATTTTCAGCACAAAAATATTTAATATTCAAGAAGTTAAATTCTGAATTCTGTTCAGTGCTTTTATATTCCACAAACAAATCCTCTTTCCAGCAAATCTATAAGAGTATCCCTCTTCTTCTCATGCTGTCTTTTGCTATCGGCAGCATATTATAAGCTCTACTAATCCATTAATAGTTTCTACGGAATATATAGCATGGAATATAGATAGGAAAAGAGCACATTACATAAAAGCCATAAGCTCATTAGCTCTGAGTTGATCAACACAGAGCTGGTCAGTATATAAACTGATGGGGACATATGTGACGCTAAACTCCACAGAATATCAAGAATGTAAATCCTGCGACAGTACTTTCACAGTACTAGCCAAACGTTGTGTGATACTGTTATAAATTAATACACTAGGCCCCAAATTTAAAGTAGCTGTATGTGTAAAAACTAATTTGAAAACAAGGACTACCTTTTAGAATATGGTGTTTAAACCAAAAACTGTAAGCTAGAAATTTTTGAAGGGTATCACAGCAAAGGAATTGAATCAAAGAAGGAAGCAGAAAGTAAAACTAAGATTTGGTTTTATTAAAGAATCAAAAAGATAAGGTCTCTCCTGGTTGAAAAACTTACATAACAATACTGATGTCTCTAACATTACTAACAGGGAAATCATAGTTAGTGAGAGGAAGTGGAAGCAGGGACAGAGATGCCCACTAAATGCAATGGGCTTAGAAATGAATAGAGAAGATGCACTAGACAGGCAGAATTACCTCGAGAGTTCAGTTCCCCCAGAACCCTCACCATTGTTTCAAAGTAAAATGGACTTAGCATATACTTGAAACTGTTTCTGATCCCACACATCTTTAAAAAAATTTTTGCTCACATGCAATGCATTGAAAAGCAAATGAAAAAAGGTTCTTGCAACATCTCTTCAGTGCTTCACCTACAGTGCTAATCACAATTTGTGCTACATAAAAGCAAAGGTCCCTGTGCTGCTTAAACACCCATCATCATCTGCAGCACACTGCAACAAAAATTCAGTGTTGAGACTGAATAGCCAAAAACCTTTTGCTGTGATAAGGTGAGATAATAGTCATAGAAAACAGAAAAAAAATGCTTGGAAAGGACCTCCGCAGGTTTTCTAGTCCAGTTGCCTGTCACAAGAAGGGCTAATTTTTAAACTATTTTCAATTGCTCAGAACTTTGTACAGGCAAGACAGGAAAATCTCTAAGGACAGCAATTCTGCAGCCACTCTGAGAAGCTGTTCCAGTGCTAAACCAGTCGCAGAGTGAAGAACTTACTCCTTCTGTCCACCTGATTTCCTTCCTTACAACTCAGGTTCACTGGCACTTATCCTCGCTCTCCATTCCTGCTGTCTTCCAAGAAATACTTTACACTAATACCTACAGATTTTTTTTTCCTGAATGGCAAAATCCTATGGTCAAAAAAAGGGCTGGAATTAACTTCAAGAAGTCATCTTGTTTCTTCCCCGTTTAAATAAGATAGGATCAACTATACCAATGTTTCATGAATGGTATTCTTTGATGGAAACGCCTCTTCCTCAATGTGAAAACTGTACCATTGCTTTGCTGGACTTATAATTACTGTTTGTTCATGCCTAGTTCAAATTTCTATTTCAGCAATTTCAGACCATACCCTTTATCCTTTTGATACTTACAAACTGTACTATTTGAATCGCAAAGTTGCAGAATCATATTGATTAGAAGCCTCTAGTTCACCTAGCTTAGCTCCTGCTCTGAGGAGAGTCAACTGCTAAGTTAGAGCAGGCCACTCAGGGCTAGTCCAGGTGAATCTTAAAAACCTCCAAAGATAGTTGGAGATTCTACCACCTGTCTGGTCAACCTGTCCCAGTGCTTCCCAGTGTCTTCAAACAAAATGCCAGCTTGCTCCACTGCGGAATATTATGTGGTTTGTTTTAATTTTATTTCTTGAGTGCCTTTTTTTTTTTTCCAAAATTGGTGTTGCAAAAATTAAAGATACCAAGGATGTTCTAAAGCTGTAGGAGACTGACCCTGTAGTTTACAGATACAAAAATACAAATAACAAGACAATCTATCTACATGACTTTGCTTTTAATACGAGTTTCTATGAGAATTTCCACAACCAATTTTTTTGAAGTAAAATTTTTTTGAAGTAAACCAATTTTTTTGAAGTAAAATTTTTTTGAGTAAAATTTTTTTGAAGACTTCCTGGAAGTACCAGTTTTAAAGTGTGTTACACCACCAAGTCTGACACACAAACTGGTGTCAGCATTGGGAATAGCCAGAATACTCCAGTATCCAGACCAATATCTACTGGCCTCTTGTCCCATGAGCATTCTCACTCAACTACTGTTTAAACACAGTTTCACCTGCCTGCTGCCAACATTTTTGCTCTCAAGCTCTGCTGCCCATCACACTACAGATGGCTGAAAAATACTTTGTTTGCTCGTGTCCTGCATAGATCCCACTTGCCAATCACAAGCCTTGCTTCAACAACTCCCAAGAACCTGGTAACTCAAGCAGAGCAAAAGGCAAACAGGGTGCACTTTCTTTATTGCTGCTTTCTGCCAGGTTAGTAGTCACTCCGGGAAAGGAAAAGAGCACTTAGTGTAAAACAAATACAAGGAAAACCAACTGTACAGACTAGGCCAGGGCAGGATATAACAGGCAGCAATTCATTTAGAATTAAATCTTAAATAGCTGATACAGAAGAACTAGCTTTCTGTTTTTCCTTTTGTTACACCAGAGTTTGGTCAGGCATAGGGTTGGTCGGCCTTTGGGATGGGCTTTGCTTCCGCTGGGTAACGCAGCACACGCAGTACTTCAGGTGTGGAAACGACAGCACCAACAACGTGAACATACCTAAATCTCCATTATGGTCTTTAATGGAGTAGGTAGGCCTGCTACAGAGCACACACATAAAACATTATTTCAGAGATCCTGCCTAAAACCACTACATTTATTGATTAAAAGAAAGTTAACAAAACAAATTCATTTGCTGTAAAAAAAAAAAAAAAAAAAAAGGCAAGTTACACTTGGAAGGACAAATGGTTCAACTTTCACAAGTCCCTAAGAGAGGTCCCCCTACTTCCACTGTGCATCTAATCTGCACATGCACTGCACCCCAGCGTGCGGGTTGATGTTGGGACCACACTTAGGTATGAAGAGACTTCACAGGTGAACTGGCAGGTGATGAGAAACGCTTTAGATGACAATCACTGATCCCCAAAAATCTCCTGATTTCGATACTAAAAAGGAAGTTTTCCCCACAAAACCAAAATGTCAAGTTGACATTATCTTCAGATACAACCTTTTAACAGCCAGGTTTTGATCTACATTTTATTTCTATCACTGTGAGACACAAGAATATGCTGTTCTTCACAGCTTTCAGTTCATTCTCCAAAGAGTAGCATACAACAGAAAAACCTTCATATTTAGATTCTTTTTACAAATTTTTTTATCAACAACCTGCTTACAGAAAATGAGTAGAATTAAAAAAAAGCTTGCATTAAATACTATACAAAGTATTAACATTGTTGAGGAGCTAGTCCCCGAATATGCTCACTTTCTATATCCTCAGCCATCTGCACTGCAGCTCACAGAACAAAACAAGATTAGCTGAAGGTTTTCTTGGCTGCAATTCATTATGACACATGAGAACTGCAGCACCTGACAGGCTCCTGTTCAGCAGAATTTAGCAAGATGAAAGCAATCAAGTGTGTACTGTAATAATAATGAAAAAAACCCCAAAAGTCTACAAATGAAAAATAATCAAGTATAATAAATACATTTCTCTTAAAAAGAGATGAGCCCTCAAAATTGAAGCACACTTTTCAGAAGACAAAACCCATTATTTTCTGCTCTGAAAATGTACTTTGTGGGAAGTGCTATGTATTGATGACCTGTATGCAATTATATCTCCAAAACCTTTCAGGAAAGAAGAACAGATTCCCACAGGAAGTTTCAACTGCAATCTTTGAGTAAAAAAGTCTTCAGAAAGATTCAATAGCTTCAGACCAGAACGATCAGCAATCATCAAGCTCCTTTACAATCCATCACCGCCATTTTTAGTATAGTTGTTAGGACAGCTTGGATTCCACCTCTCTCCAATCAATGTTTTTTATAGAGTGGTGTCAGTTTATGGAATTGACATTTTTAGTGATATCAAAGGCCAACCTAAGGAGGAGGATCTTCTCCTCGAATAGCTTTGTACTTCGCCATGTCTTCTGGGAACACCTTTGTCAGTTCTTGAATTAACAGACTTTTAAATTTCTGGAAAAAGCAAAAAAATACATATACATCATCTGCACAGTTTAGATTTCATCATGCAATGTTATCTGCTGAACAGAAATGTTTGCATACAATATAGTTCTATGTCTCAGTGACTCAAAAAACAGTACCCCCAAAAGACCTCAAAACCACACACAAAAACACAGAAAGTTACAACTACAAAATTCACAGAAAATGCTCAATCCACTAGGAAAGCAAAATAAAATGCTTTTAATTTCCCATAAATTAACTAGTATTTTCAGCTAAGAAATACAAAGTAGTTGAACCTCTCTGGTTAACTCTGGTGCATCGCTATCTGTCTAGCCTTATTAAGCAAAGCTGATAAAGAACATGTCCTCTCAGTTTGATATGGAATCCCCTCCACCTCCAAAAAGGAACTCACACCTGGATTAAAAATACATAATTCTTCCTACAACTTTTACAAGCACAGATCAAAAGAAAGAGAAGCTTAAAACAGAGGCACGTCTGCATTCTGCAGCACTTTTTGCCATACTCTAATTTTAAATTCAGTCCAAGAACACTCTGAAACACAAACAGCCCTTTCTCAAATCTCACTAAACTTCCTTTTCTGACCGTTTTTCAGCATTAATTCCAGCAGTTACTAGATGAAAGTGTAAGTTCAGAAAACCTAAAACACTGACGTACATTTTAGGTAATTTTATAAAAGATTAAATCATGCTTATATAGAACGTTTGACATTTTAATACTCTATTCAAGACTGGAAAAATACCCTTTCCGTTTTGCTTATTTCTAATTTTACATACATCACAGTTATAGATCTATAACAGTGTGAGGTACTCACTAGTATTCAAAATTAAAACAACAAAAAAAAAATCTGTAATGCTACATACAACTTTAACCAAAATAAAACCACAGCAACATCTGCCTCTCCAACTGTGGGATGAATTACAGGTTTCCTTTCCAGAACAGGCTATATTAGCATCCATTAAGATGGAGATGCAGAGCAATTCCTAATACAAATCACCTAATAAGGGAATTTAATAACTGCAGAAATGAAAAAAGCTCCATACATTTACAGGAAAGGAAAAACTTAACAAATAAATTATTACTTTCAATATTTCTGGTTTACCTTCATTGTGTCAATTTTTCCTTTTACTTGCTCATTTTTAGCCAAAGCTCGCTCCAGACACTCTTTAGTGTAAAGCTGGGGATTGCGGCCTTGATCTATGTATCTGAAAACAGAAAAGATACTACCTAAATGATCATATTTCTACTAGGATTAAGGTACAGAACTATTCACCTTGATGTCTTTTTGTTACTACTATTGTCTGAAATGTGCATTTTAAAAAACAGTGTAATGCAGCCATTTTCAAAAGACAGCTCAAGTTGGTCAAGGCCATGGCCAAACAGCTGTCTAGGTATGCCGTTTTAAATCTTTGTTTCCAGAAAGCCTGAAGCTTTGCAAAAATTATTAAAAGTAAAAAATATAACTACCCAACTCCTCACACGCAATAAGTACACATGAACAATCTTCAAAGCAACTGGAAGGGCACCAACTATGAAGTCGCTCTCTTAGTACATGGTGAGAGATAAGCACATAGGAATATGACACCCAGCAGTTCAAGGATAAGGAGGAGGCGTACATACCATTGTAAAAATTAACACAGCTGTATTAGCAAACCTGTAAGCGTATTTTTGTTTTGCAATGTAAATGCCTGACAAAGGAAAATCCCATCACCGAATAAAGAAAACAGAAAATTTAACTGTCATCATAGATTTACAGATAGAGTGAAAGCCCGACCAAGAAAAGTCCTTCATAGCCAATATTCCACTAGAATATAGCAAATCTGTGACATTTGGACTTATAAGAAACACTAGTAAATTAACTTGTTAGCCATATGGTAAAAGCTGTCTTGTACAGCTCTCCTTCTACAATCATGATTTTGCTTTTAACATTGTAATCCTCTGCCAACAAGATTGCTGCTACTGAAACTAAACCTAAACACTGGCCTAATTTACTTTCACCTGCAACTTTAAATCTTGATTCTAACACAGTGTAGAAGTATATTTTCAAAACAAAGGCTTGCTTACTACATCACCAGATTCAGCAAGATCTGTATTACTGCCTACATATGTAAAGTTAACATAAGTTTAAAAAATGAAAAAAAAAAGGACATCTGAAAGCTGGTGTGTAATTTATCACTTCTCTTACCCTTCCACCTTCTCACAGGCTGAAAGTACTTCTCACCTCCTTCTGCTTGCTCACATTCTCGTGAGGCATTTAGAGGATGGGAGTTTAAGAAACAAGCAGTCCTCAGGAAAAATATCCACACTGCAAAGACACACCACCCCAAACAACAGCGACTACAGAACCTTTCCTTCCAGATACCGAGCTACTTACTCAAAAACTTCCAAGGGCACGCTGATATCGTGAAGCTGCTGCCGACATTTGTCGATATCCTGCAAGCCCGTCACCATGAAATTCCTGTAAGGAGAGAACGGGTTGTTTTTAGGCAAAAAGGGCAGCACTACGTTAAACCTGACCCTGACCGCGGGGCCAGCGACACTAAACCCAGCGAGGGAGACCCCAGCGAAAACCCCCAGCCGCTCCTCCCGCGTCTCGCTACGGCGGCAAGGTGACAGATCCGCCGGTCAGAGCCTCCCGGTACCCCCTGAGGCAACAGGCTGGGGGTGGCGGGAAAGGCCCCGCAGCCTGGCCCGGTAACGAAAACAAAGCGACGGAGCAACTGGCACCCTCACAATTTCTGATTGAGACCAGCCTGGCTGCTAGGCTGGAAGTCACTAACGATAATGCCAAGCTGCCGGATATTCTCGACGAACTTCTCCAGGTGCTCCTCCAGAGAATCGAACTTCTCCGCCATTATCGCCAAACCACCGCCTTCCCTCCCCTACTTCCGGCCACTCGCGCATGCGCGGAAGGAGGAAAGTGAAGCGGCTGGGCTGGTCCCCGCCTCTCATCACGCCATTCAACCACAAACCACGCCCCCTTCTCTGACAAGCCCCGCCCCCTCCCGCTCCGCCC